CTGGTCTCTGTAAATAGTCACGTGGGGATGATGAGCCTATGAGCAGAAAATGGCCTTATAATAAGGTAAATGCCCAAGGCTGTGTATCTGAAGGGTCTGGGAGTCTGGGAGTCACAGAGAATAGAGTATCTCCTTGGGCTGGGAGGGCAGGGCAGTAGGGTCAGAATGGGCTTTCCAAAGGAGTTGGCACTGGCACAGCCTTGATGGATGTATCGGAAATTGACAGGAAGAGAAAAAGTGCGGCAGAGAAGGCCAAGACGTGGAAGCAGAGGTGAAGGGGCATTTGGGGAGGTACGAGTAACCTGGTGTGACTGATGTGAGCACACCGGGGTAATGCGGGCGAGGCCAAATCACTGAAGGGCTTAGAAGCCAGCTTTAGAAGTGTGTCTTCCTTCTGTGCTCCCTGAGGGCCACCACGAGGCCATAAGAGGGAAGCTGGGGGCAGTGGCGTGATGAGCTTGGGGCTGCAAGGAGAGATGGACCCCAGCAGCAGCCCGAGCAGGGAAGTGGCTCTGGGCAGGAGACACGCCTCGCTTGTCTGCGTTAAAAAGGAGGCCTCCGCTCTCCCCCACAAAAGCCCTGGGGGAGGCAGACCTTCTTCCAGCCGTTTCAGGCAGCCAGGCTGTCAGAGTGATGAGTTCTGCAGCCTAGAAGCTGAACGAAAGAAGAAAGTCCCAACAAGCTCCATTTCACTGCCCTTGACCTTGCAGTAGAGCTCTAAGTGCAAAATCTGTCATCTATTAATCTGTTAGAAGTTGACAAAAGGGACTTTGATCAGCGGTTGTTCCCCCCCCCCCCCGCCCCTTCTTAAGTTTCCTGATGACACATAATAGCCCATTTCAGCCGGAGGGCCGGAAGCACGGCCATCATTCTTTTGCTCACTTCAGCCCCAGTGGCCTCCCAGCCCTGTGGCTCTCTCCCCGCCCCGATATTAATTGGCCTGTAAGTGGTTACATGTGTTCCTTTTTATGTGTCAGTTGGAGTCTGTTATTTGAACTTCACAGCTATGGGAACACAGGAGTGATGCTCGGGGCCATGTCACACTGGCTCTCACCTCAGGATTTTTGTCTTCTTCTATCCCCGAGGCCTTGATGCCTCCTACCCTCAAACCCACTCCCACCTCATCTCTGTCTTCTGAGTTAGGCCCTCTAACTTTGCAGCCCAGCTCTTGGAGCCACGAAGTTCACAGCCAGGAGAAGCCTTCAGAGGCCCATACCGTAGCATCTGGTTTTAAAGGAATTGAAGCCTGGGTGGGACGGGGGGGGGGGATTTTTTAAATAAAAATAACATCTGTTGAGGCTCCATTATGTCCATGTTTCTTACATGTGTTCTCTCATTTCATCCTCGAAATAACTCTGGGAGTTAGGAATCATGGCCATTTTTTTCAGATGGGGAAACTGAGGCTCTGGGAGACGAAGCAGAGAGAGCTCTAGGGCCAGCTTGCCTCAGACCGTGTCCTGCCCCTGACACTTAGCAGCTGTGTGGTCTTGGGCCAGTGGTTTCTGTGTCTCAGATCAACGTCATCAACGATGGGTCTAGCAACAGTACCTACTTGCAAGGGCTGTTGTGAGGATTAAATTGATTTTACATTTTTAGGGGCTGAGAACAGTGCCTGGTGCACAGAAAGCGCCTGATAGATGTCAGTTTCTGCTGCTTCGTGAGGCAGTGTAGCACAGTGGTCTGGAGCGCTGATTCCAGAGTGAGACGTCCTTGGTTTCGATCTCTCCTCTACCGGTTCACTGTGTGACCTTGGGTGAATTGCTCATTTTCTCAGTGACTGCACCCCAATCTACAAAGTGGGGATATTCCTGGTGGCTGGAGGGTGTGTCCCTAAATGAAATGGTTAGTTCCCCACATCATTACCTTGTAGTGAATTTCACCAAGTGACAAACCCCATTCAACCCCACAGAGCTTTTCATCTAATCCGTAGTGACCCATTTTCAATATGTTTTTTGGACTTCAAAAAATTACAAGTAATATCAGAAAGATGAGAAGCTATTGCCTCCAAAAAGCCAACATCAGAATGTAAAAAGAAACAGTGGAGGATCAAACTAAGAATTACACAGAGCTCTTGAAAATGAAAATTAACAGACCAAAACAATGTTTTAAATAACACAACATTTGGAACACGAGGCGAACTCTCAGAAAGTAAAACAAAAGGATAAATAGACTGAAAATAGGAAAGAAACATAAGAAAATTGCAGGATCCATCTAGGCTATTCAGCATCCAAATAGTAAGAGTCCCAAGAAGAGAAAAAATGGAGAAAACACAGGGGAGGCAATATTCAAGGAAATAATACAACATAATATTCCCAGAGCTGAAATCACGAGTTTCCTTGTCTGAATCCAGCACATGCTTGACACAGCAAATGATGAAAAGACCCACATCAAGGCAAATTGTTAGAAAACCAGGGATAAAAGGAATATTGAAAACTTCCAGAAAGGAAAAAATGAAAAACACAAACAAGATATGTATAATGGATCAGGATACAGGATGACATTTGGATTTCTCAACAACAGTCTTTGAAGGTGATTTACACCCTTGGATTCTATACCCAGCCAAACTATTAATCCAGTGTGGGCTTCCCGGTAGCAGCACTGAAAACTAGAAGCAAAAAAGCAACGTCTTCAAAATTCTGAAAAGTATTTGCAATGTAGAGTTCGTACCCAGCCAAATAACCCTCCAGCAGAGGCTCTAAAGACATTTCTAAAACCGGAAATTCCTCCCAGATTTGCCTCCCATTTTCCCTGTGTCATGATGCTACCGGAGGGGGTGTTCTGCTAAAATGAAGGAGGTCCACTAAGAAAGAGGCAGATGTGGGATCCATGAAGCAGGTGATCCAACAGTGGAGAAAGAGAAGGCATTCCTAGGATGATGCGGAGAGATGCCAGGATTGCTGCCATGGCCCAGGGATAGGGCTCCATCTCTCCCCGCCACCTTACTGAGACTGGTGCTGTGCACCCCCTGACAGCTGACTGACCCTCGATCAAGCCCTGTCTGGCTTCCCGAGTCACCCCCACTGCAGCTCTCTGTGCCCCACAGGAATTGAGGAAGACTCTGGTTCTGCCATCTGTGTTCTCAGTTTGAATGCCCCACCCCAGTTGCCTCATCTCTTAAACACGATAATAATAGCACCAGCGTCACGAGGTCATTGTGAGGGTGAAATGAGTGAATGTTTGCTAAGCACTTAGAATGGTATCCAGCACGTAGTCATGCAATATTGGTGTTCGTTAAATGGAACACGTTACGTAGTGACATGAAGGTAAACTTGTCCTGTAGTAGGTTAGAGAGACATAAGTTTAAACTTCAGCCGCAGCTCCCCATTGTCCTGTATAGCTAGACACTCCCAAATGTATTATTCTAGAGGCATCTCAACTTGTGATGCCAGTACAAGTCTGACCACATCAGTTCCTGCTGAATGCGATTTAGCGGCTCCTCATTGCTCTGAGGAAGAAGCTGGAGTCCTCTCCCCAGTCTGCCAGGCTTGCTCTGCTGTCCTCTCCAGCATCACCTTGACCCAATCCTCCTTTTCTGCCCGTCTTCCATGCCAGCAACCTCCTCCAGTCAGCCCCTCAGGAACTGTGTCCTCCTGCATCTGGACCTTCAGCCATGCTGCTCCCTCTACCTGGGCTTCTCTTCCTGCCACCACCCCTCCTTCCTTCAGCTGGTTTCTACTCGCTCCTTGAATCTCAGCTAGATCATCATTTCTGCAAAGAAGCCTTCCCTGGACCCAAAGGTGACCTGTGACACATTCTCATGGCCCAGGATAGGTTTAATTCTTGCACTCAGCATGACATCTTCAATTCTTTGTATCATTCATTCATTCAGCACATACTTGTTGAGTGCCTATCATATGCCAGGCACTGTTCCTGGCCTTGATGATACAGCAATGAGCCAGATAGACAGAAACCCGCACCATTGGCGGGGTGAGTGTGCTATCTAGTGATTACTGGATGTCTTCACCTCACTGAGCATCAGCACCATGGCTAACGCGTACTTATCAAAAAGAATAAATGTTTGCTGAGAAATAAACCACAGGAACAACGCTGCCTTCCCCGAGACAGCGAAGACGGGGGCTGAGGCCACCATCCCCCTTCTATTAAGCGTGTAAAGATCTCCTAGTAGCGCTGGCAGGAAGGGAGTGGAGTTGCTGACAAGCAGTTTCTCGGGCAGTTTGGTAAGAGAATGAAAGAAGAAAAGAGAAGCCCCATCCAGGTGGAAGGTCAGAGTGGTTCCCTCAGCCGTGTCCCCCCACCCCCACCCCAGCTTCCCCTCTTCACCCCCTGCTCATCTGGCCTTGCTGGTGACCAGGCCAGCCTTCCAGATGAGCTGGGGCTGTAGGGGCAGTCAGTGGCGGAGGCATTCGTGAGTGGGTAACCGTGACTAATCTGGAGAAACAGCTCTGGCCCAGCGGTTCACCCCAGGCTTGTTTGTGTCTAATTTCCCCGGGGGGCAAATGGGCCCCTTATTTTCATTTTGAGGTTTAGGGTTTCCCCTAGAGCTGGTGGGGAGACGGGCCAGGATGTTTTGCATACGTGCGGAAAGTCTTGGAGTTGGAAGTAAGAGAGGAGGTCAAAGTGAAGGGGTGAAGGTGAGCCAGGTGGGGGGGCGCTCAGCTGAGCCTGGAGGAGCTTTGGCATACTCCCCGATCTCTCAGCTGTTTCTTCCCAGGCCACTTTGCAGAGGCATTTAACAGTAACACCAAAGGAGACAGAAGGATTTAGGGGTTTTTTTCCCCTAGGGGAAAGGTGGGGAGAGGAATAAGAATTAGGGAGCACAAGGCCCTAAACAGATGAGAATAGGCTCCATCTTTTGTACCCGAGCCAGGCATGGAGCTCAGCATAGAGTGTGCATTTCACACATGCTTTATATTTTCACACACAGTTCATTCCACACATGAGCTGGAGGAACTGGGGATTACAAAGCACACCTCCCTGGATTTGGGCCCAGCTCTCTTACTTCTGTCCCATAAATTATGGACTTCTTTTTTTTTTTTCAGGTGTCCGCTCTGTGCTGGGCTCCAGAAGTACAGACACAAAGGAGAGAATCCCTGTGCCTTTGTCCTTGAGAAAGTCACTTCACATCCCTGACCCTCACTTTGCCTAGGTGAACGTTTTCTCTGCCTGCCTCAGAGGGTCGTGAGGCTTACACAGGACAGTGCTCTGCACATGACAAAGGGCTGTGGCACATGTGATTAATTAGCAGAACCCTCTTAAACAATCTCCAACTAACCACCTTGCCAGATTACCGGAGGCTCTCCGTGCCCCTCAGCAAGCACGGCGCCTGTGCCCAGGACACACCAAACCCTTGAAGCTAGCAGGTACTCTCCAATTTCCCCAGGCACGTCGGTTCCAATCAGTTGAGTTGTATAGGCTTATCGAGAATTATTTGTGTTTGTTCTCAACCTGTTCCTATCACTTTAATTAAATAGTTCAATTATTATTCCGTAATGCAATGAAATATGAATGCGTAAAAACAGAGCCGTTCCATCATAAGCTAAGTTGAATGCTTGGGAGAGAATCAATGCATGTGATGCTCAACAACTTCCTGGTGAATGAATTGTAAGTGATATAACTGTAAAGGTTAGAGGGGAAAATAAAACCTGTAAAATTGAGTCTTTGGCATTCAGTTTTATGTTCTCAGTCTACCTTAAGGAAACAGAGGCTATAAATTGTCCACAATACTTTGTGGGCGTGTTTTTTTGGGGAAAGATAACAAAGGGTTCAAATCAGGGAACCCAAGGGATTCCCCACTTTCTATGACCTGTTGGGCCAAGTGACCCTCATCAAGCCAGCTCTCATCAGGTTCAAGAGAGTTTGTTCTGTACCTTTAATGGCTCTCCATGAGCTGGAAGGGGGAGTGTCATGGCTGACTCAAGCCATATCATTGGGGTGAGCCCCTCACAGTTGGGAGAGGCTTCGTAGTCACTGGGCCCAGGCTCTTCCTGTGGTAGGCATGCCCACCACAGACCCACTGCCAAGTGGCCGTCAGGGCTCTCTATGAATGCCACCAGGGACCCACCACCACTCAGATCAGAACCTGGCTAATTTTGAATTGTATTCTGGTAAGCATGCTTGATGCCCTTTTATCTCCTCTTTGCACTCCGTGAAGAGCCCTCCTCCTTTGCCTACAGGTGAAAGAGCTCCATTACTCACCCTTAGCTAAGAAGACAGCAGGTCCAGAAAGCAGCTAACACTCTAGTCTGAATTAGCTTCATTCATATAATGTCTAGGAATCAATTTTCCCAGCGGCAGCAGCAGGGTCTTCTTACCCCTTCTAATGATTCTTTATTCCTTCCTAGGGCCTTCCCACCTCTCCAGCCCCTTCTTCCACAAGAGCAACCCTTGACCCCCTTTCTGGCAAGATTTCTGGCAAGATTCTACCTGACCCCTGCTTCAAGTATATAGGGGTAAGTACTGTACTCTGGATCAAGACAGAGTCTAATCCTAGCACTTTCTACCTCTGAGAACTTAGACTATATACTTAACCTTTTCTGAAAGCTGTGATTTTCTCATTTCTATAATGGGAAGTAAAATAGCTTATTGTGATGGCTCATTCATTTAACAGTTATTTTCTAGTACCTGCGCTATGCCAAGCACCATGCTGCTAGGTGCTGGGGATACAGGAGTGGGAAAACCAGAGACCTGCTGGAACAGCGAAGGGAAGGAAGCTTTGCTGGGTGATTGATGTGCCGAGACAGGGGTTGGCAAACTCTTTCTGTAAAGGGCCAGATAGTAAATATTTTAGGCTTTACTCTGCCATTTTAGCACAAAAGCCAAGCAAGCCATAAGCAACACATAAACAAATGGGGGTGGCTATGTTCCAACAAAACTTCGCAAAAACGGGCAGCGGGCCAGGTTTGACCCGCAGTTTGCCTGCTTCTGGGCTAACGTGTTAATACTTTTGGACTGGAGGCCAGTTCCAGATCGCTCCAAGAAGGCGCCTTCCAAATTGTCTACTGTTGGATTCAGGCTTGAATGCAAGGAGTTCTTCTGGAGGGTCTCCAAAAGTCTTTCTCTCCCTCCACAGAAGTTTCGTGCCTTTTGCTTATGTGGAGCTGGATGTATTAGATCCCAAGCTGGCTTAATTAGCTTTTCCAACCTGCTTCCCTAATGGGGAAGTGCGAATTCAATAGCATTCAGTGGCCCCTTTTAACGAATTCAACAGGCACGACAAAGAGGCAACCGGTTCTGTGCTGCTGGGCTGGGAGGGCAAAGTCAGGCCTCCTCTCCAGACTTCAGTTTGTCTCTCTTAAAATGAGAGGGCTGGACTAGTGGTTTCCCAAACTTCAACACTCATTGAAGGATGCAGGGTGCTTGTTAAAAATGCAGATTCCTAGGCCATGACTTTGGCTCCATTGTCTCAAATTCTAGAGATGGCTTGGGGACTCTGGAGTATTAACACGTGTCCCAGACGACTCTGGAGGAGGACACCCCAAGGAGCAGAGAACTTGGCCTCTTCTAACCCTGACATTCAGTGGATGTCAACAGAGTTGAGGGAGACTGTGTGCCTTCCCTGGGCTGGGCTGGGCTGTGGTGGTACAGAGAATGGCGGTGGTGAGAATCATTATCTCGTCTGCAAGGACGTGGCAGGATGTGGTTGACCTGAACTTCCTGTGAGTGGGGGGAACCAGAGAACACGGGGACAGATTCGCACCCAGGCAGGAGGCTCAGCCCAGAGGCCTAGAGTGTGCTCAGTGGGTATTGGGAAATAAGAGCGTGGCCCTACCTCCTCTCTCTGACCGTAGGCAGGTCATCTCACTTCTCAGAGCCTCAGTCTCGTCATGCATAAAATGGGGATGCTGGTGGGTCCTTGCAAGGGCACCATGAGGAATAATAACACTTATAAAATCTCTCCCTCCATTAATGGTAGAAAATCCTCTTTCAGTGGAATGAGTGTCCCCCTGAAAAGATCCAAGGCCAAGGTTAGGAGACTGCTCCAGGGGCTGGGTTTTACTGATGACTCACTGCTTGACCATGGAGTGAGTGAGACCCTTGGCCTTACTGGGCCTCACTTTGCTTGACTGTAGAATGGGATGCTAATGCACTTATGCTTCCCCACCGCCTTTCTCAGGACTCTTGAAGACTGGAGGAGACTATAAGTTAGAAAGTAGCAGTCAGGGACTATGGCAAAAATGTCCAAGACCTTCCTCGTGAGGCAGGGACGCATCTGACTTTCATAATGCCCTTGCTTTCCATCTGTTCTTTTTCAGACAGAGGAAGGAAGACAACAGGATCTCTGAAAGACATCCTCACCAAATACAGCATTCTCTCTTTGACTTCTTTCCCTCTGAGTTTATCAGTTGATTAAGAAACTCACTGGATACCAACCGTGTACTAGGTGTAGGAAGGGGGATCCCTAACCATGAGACACTCACTGTCCGGTTTGGAAGATAACACGTGTGAAATAGCGCTGCAATGATGCCGCTGATGGTGACGAGGCTGGAGACGATGGGGAGAATGAAGATGATGGTGGCGCTGCTCATCCTGAACCACGTACAGTCACAAAGCATGTTTATGACCATGATCTTATTTCACATTCAAAACTATCCAAAAGAAACCCAATTTCAGGGATGAACAAACTGAAGTAACAACTGCTCTGAGATCAGGTAAGAAGAAAATAGCTGAGTTGGATTCCAGCTTCTTTTTTGGGGCTCCACAAATGCCATTGTCCCCGAGATATCACAACTTTTTTCCTTTAAATTGCAACAGAACGTTGCAAAATGCACATAATCATTAGACAGTAACTTGAGTAATTGCCACATGGGAAGTGAATGTGACCAGAGATCAGAGAGCAGGCCGGTCAGGAGATGGGGCTGTAGTGATCAGAAGAGGCTTAAAGGAGAAAGGAGCAACTGAGTGCCGCCTAGGAGGCTGCACAGTATTTGGATATGCAAGTGGTAGAGATGGGAGATGGGGTGGCATTCTTGGCAGGAGGAAACATGTAGGTAAGAAAGGAAGTAAGAGAGTTCAAGGTGTATCAAGAAAGGCCAGACCCTCGTCTGACCGGAAGGAGGGCATGTACAGTAGATCTGCTGGAGAAGAGGAGAACTTGGGGATGGTTTCTTCCAAAGGCCTGGAGCATTTCCCTTCATTTTGCCATAGGTGGGAGGGTCCACCCATCTTCTCTCTGTCATCCTTGTTGCTTTCAACCCCAAGTCCCTTTATAATCAAATCAAATCGAAGGACTGTCTGCAGTCTTAGCCCAAAGACAGAGCCTGTCACTTCTGACTTTTTTCTTTTAAAAATGTCAGAGTGCTGCTGAAACAGGAACAGCATTGAGGCAACAGCAGCTCTGACTCACAAAGAGAACATCAAAGAAGCAGCAGCGATAAGGGGCTGGCAGTAATTGTGTGTGTGAGCAGAGTTTTCCTGACACTCTTTGAGGCCTAGGGGCCCCTCTGGGCAGCCTCGTTGTGGAAAGAAGCATGTGGTTTTCAGAAACAGGGTGACTCACCACACAGGCAGAGTTTGGGGACAGAGATATAGTCTTGGTCTGCTGGGACTTTCAGCCAGGAGCCCAGGCTTAGGGCTCTGGGTCGCTGCACATCTCAGGTCTCCAGTGAGCTAAGATTCATCTGTCCATCCAAACATTCAAGCATCCATGAATCCACGTATGCATCTATCCATCCACCCATCCACCCATCCATCCATCCATTTAACAAATACTATGAGCACACACTCTATGTAGGCCCTGTGCTAGGTGCAAGATGATATAGTGGTGACCAAGATAGACACAGTCTCCGCCTTCAAGAGGCTGACAGTCTAGTGAAGAACAGATGTATTGAAGAAATAATTACATGGGTAACTGAATCACTACTGTGATAATGCTGTGAAAGAAAATATAGAGTATCCTGAGGGGGCACATAATAGGAGAGCTGACCTGTTCTGGGAAGCTGGTCAATGAAATCAGGGGTGGATGCTAGAAGATGGTGATACTAATAACTGTATGATCAGCCTTTTAGCACCATCTCTCCCACCATCAGGGATGGTAAGAGTGTAGAGCTCACCCTTGTTCTTTCAAACCCTCTCTTTCTCCCCCCTCCCCCTCCCTCTCCTTCTCTCTCTCTCTCTCTCCACACACACACACACCCACACACACACACAACCCATGAT